GGGAGCGCCGCCACGCTTCCCAAGCGGCGCACTATCCAGTGCGCCACCGGGCCAGCCCCCAAAACATCATTATTAATTGTAGTCACCATGCTATACAATAGGTCTTCTGTTTAACTGAGACTCTGTAGCCTTTGACTAACAACCCCATTCCCCCTCCTCCCATCCTGACCAGCAACTATTATGCTACTCTCTGCTTCTAGGAGTTTGACTATTTTAGATTCCACATGTAAGTGAGATCATGCAGTATTTGTATTTCCGTGCCTGGCTTACATCACTTACTACAGTGTCTTCCAGGTTCATCCATGTTTTTGCAAATGACAGAATTTCCTTCTTTTTTAAAGCTGAATACCCTTCCATTGTGAATGTATAACATTTTCTTTATCCATTCATCCACTGATCAACACTTAGGTTGATTCCATGTCTTGGCTATTGTGAATAGTGCTACAGTGAACATGGGCATGCAGATATCTCTTTGTCATACTGATTTTATTTCCTTTGGATTATATACCCAGTAGAGAATTGCTGAATCATATTGTAATTCTATGTTTAGTTTTTTGAGGTACCTATTGAGGTACCATGTCTGTGCTAATTTATGTTCTTACCAACAGTATACAGGTGTTCCCTTTTCTCTCCGTGCTCAGCAACACTTGTTATCTTTCGTCTTTTTGATAAAAGCCACTCTAAGAGGTATGAAGTAACATCTTATAATTATAGTTTTAATTTGCATTTCCCTGAGCATCAGATTCTTAATGTTTTGGTCCAAGAGGTATGTGTTAGGATGAATAGCAAAAATCATGGTGGAAATGATCAAACACTACATATTAAAGTCAGAATAGCTAAGGGAGAATTTCTCACTCATTTAAAAACTGAAACTTTCTCCTTCCATGAAGGGGGAAATAGATGAGAAAAATTGTAACGATAATGGCATTCTTTTATAATATTTAAGAGCCTCTAATAATTTTTCTTGTATATATTCTTTTTAGGAAAAGCCATTGACAAAATCTCTACAACGAGGAGAAGACCCCCAATTTGATCAAGTATGTGATATGTTATATATGTTATATACGGATTTTTATTTTGAAATGCACAAAAGGCAAGGCCTGAATACTCAATACTGTTGTATTGATGAACTTCCTCAAAGAGGACATGGGTGTGTGGTCTTAAGAATTGTGCCCTGCAGCATTTGCAGTTGTGGTTTACAGTAGACGTTCAGTAAATGTCCATTGATTTGAGTTAGAAAGAACTAAAAAGTGCTGGAATAATTTGAGTAGGCCCTTGATTGATCATTTCCTAAGTCTTTGTATATCGGCATTAAATAAACTGAGAAAAGATAGTTTAAAGGAAGTTCCATTCAAAGACTTGAGATGCTTCTGTATAAATAATGCTGTGTGATGATGGGATCTCTGCACCTGAGTTTATTTATGTTGTCATCCAACACTGTTTGAATGCCTACTATTTGCATGACACAGTATTAGGCACCAGTGATAGAAAATCTAGGGTAAGTTTTAGTTCTTCAAGAATTCACAATCCTGTGAGAGAGAAACCACCTCAGCAGTAATTATAAAACAATATAGGACCTTAGATTCTAAAAGAGAAAATAAGAACATGAACAAAATAATTTGAGATATAATAAATGCAAAGAAAGTCCTTTAAAAATGGATAGGATTTTTTTAAAAATCCTAGTAAAAGGATATCCAACTCTAACCAGCACGTAATAAACATGAGAAATCAGGATCTGATAGAAATCAGGATCCTGATTCACTAACTTCAGGAAGGCTTTAGGTGAGTTTGAGAATGACAGACAACAGGACATCAGAAGAAGTCAGAGATGTGTTTATGGTGTTCCCTAAACTTCTGCAATTAAGGACAAAGAGGACAGCATGTCTTCAAAAACCTCAGTTGGTGCCAGTGTCAAAGACAAAATCCTGCTGGATGCACCGTGGCCTGATCTAATATAGTTTTTTTTGTGGTCTAATGAAGAACACACACAGAGTACACTTTCTGTAAAGCTTTGAAATTGCCCTTAATGTGGAATCCAGAGAAATATCCACCTGTACAAGTCCAGACTTGTGCGATCCAGAAACATCATGACTGACTGTAGAGACAATATCCTCTATTTTTTATTTTATGAGCTGTTCCCTGAGAGCTTAATGTGGAATCCAGAGAAATATCCACCTGTACAAGTCCAGACTTGTGCGATCCAGAAACGTCATGACTGACTGTAGAGACAATATCCTCTATTTTTTATTTTATGAGCTGTTCCCTGAGGCAGACCTCACAAGTTCATGCTCACGGCCAGCCTCCCAAGGCTGCTGTGGCTCTGGGCTTGCT